CTTCCTCACCATTCCTCGTCCCATTCCTTTTTTTATTCATAAATCCACACACACCTTTTACTCTTAGCCTTTCTGAATTCTCTTCCCCATCGGCGGCACGGTGGCATCTCATTAGAACCAAGAATTAGAGAAAGACTTGCGACGCGTAGATTCATGTTATGGATTCACATGAGGTTCTCGAATATGGATGAAGGCGTGCAGTGTAGTATTGCATGACAGCGCGGCCGTGTTACTATGCTAGGTGAGATGTTAACTTTCTAATCAATATGATCACCGTGTCGATGCTAAGCGATGGAGAATGATTCACGGAGACAGAATGAGCAACGTCTAGAAGCAAGGACCTGCTATGTTGTATGTACTTATGTGATATATGAGATAATTTTATCGTTTTCACACTGTAATACAAATGTTTCAAAATTGTACTCCATCGCTCACTGTCCCTAACAGGTTCTAAACGGTACTTACACTGTGTACATGGTATGTACTTTACTGGCACGGTAGATATAAGAAAACTATAATTATATAATATGTATAGCTGTGAACAGAATAGCGGAGAACATAAGCATATATCCATATCTAAACAGGCGATTAACAAACATCCGCAAGATTATAATTCAATTTTTATAATATATATAGTATATATACATATGTTGGGTGGTGGCTGCTGCAGTATGCTATAGTAGTCGGTTACTGTATAGTATATATAGTATATGTTATATATATATATATGTAGTACATATATACGGTGATTTTATAATAGTGGGCGTAGGGGATCTTCATTTAACTATATCACACTAGTGAGCTAATATCTACTAAGAATTATATTTATGTATAGTAAGAGACATGCTACAGGTATTAATTATATTTTATAAATTATCTAGATATATATTGTATATATATATATATGACATTATTCACATATATATGTATATATATAATGTTATGAAATATGGAGACAATGCAGTAACGCGAACTGTGAATAATGTGATCGTATCGTATGTATGGTAATGTGTAAGTGTAAGTCGTATGTATGTATGGATTTGGTCTGGCCCGAATGGTATGTGGTACCACGTCGAGCATGTATTTGTGTATCTATATATGTATTTTTTGTGGTGTGTGTATTATTTATTTAAGTATTGTAATAATGACGTTTATCTTAAACGTGCTCTAAAACAATTTACAGTTTTGTACTATAAATAGAATTCCTGGTATGAGTCAGTCATAAGCAGTTTTCCTTTTGATTTTGGTTCTATATCAAGTCATTCCTTTGTCGTTAATTCTCTGCTTTGAAGTCTTTAATAATCCTTGAGCTCTCCTCCTCGAAAGGTCACCCTTGAACTTTGACCTCTCGTGACCTCGTTTTTTTATGACCTGTCGTTTTCTGCTTTGAAGTGTCTAGTAATCTCCCTGTCTCTCCTCCTCTTCGAAAGGTCACCCTTGAACTGATTTATTTCTCGTGACTTGTGACCTTTTTATGACCTGTCGATTTCTATTTTGAAGTCCTTAGCAAACTCCCTGTCTCTCCTCCTCGAAAAGGTCACCCTCGACCTTTTGACCTTTCGTGACCTCTCGTGACCTATCATGACCCAGATGACCTCACCTCCTCCGAAGATTCGCTGACGGTCGTTGTAATCTTCGAGCCTCGGAAGATGACCGGGATGACCTTGGTTTCGGTCGAGGTCAGCGTGGTGACGTAAGAGGTCGTCGAGGTCGTGAACTGGGTCGTCGGCTCCACTTCGACTACGAGGGTCGTGAGCGAGGTCGACACCGAGGTCACAGTCGTCGTTGCAGGTGCCTGGGATGAAGAGGGAAAGAAAGAATGGATAAAAGAAGGAAACTGATTGAGAATGATAATAGTAATGATGGTGATGATGATGATGATAGGGATAATAATGATAAAAGTAATGATGGTGATAATGATGATGATGATAGGGATAATAATGATAAAAGTAATGATGAATGATATGATGATAATAAAAGTAATGGTGATAATGATGATGATAGGGATGATGATGATAATAATGATGAACAATAATGATAATGAGGATGACGACAGACGATGATAATAAATTAAGAATAAAAGATAAAAGAATTAAGAAAAAATAGAATAATGATGACTAATACCGATAATGATTATAATGAAAATAATAGCAAAAATGATAATTTATGATAATGATGATGTAAAGAATTCAGAAGAAATAGAATAATGGTGATTGATAATGATGATGATGATGAAAATAATAGTGATAATGATAATAATGGTGATGATTGCTTATAGCAGTGATGATGATTATGATTATGATAACAGTAATGATGATTTAATGATGAGGGTGAGAATAATAATGGTGATAATAATAATAATAATGATGATAATATAATAATGAAATAACAATTATAATTAATAACAACAACAAATAATAAATACCTCGTGAGTTCAGGCCCATTAAACACATAAAAAAACATGATCTAACTAGAACATATTTCACATTTTCTCTTCTTTTTACACAAACGAAAAAGACCACAAAGTCCCTTACCGAACCCAGAAGCGCCCTCAATTCAGGGTTAGAACCGGGAGACGAACCGCCAGGGATGGAACCGGATAGATACTGATACACCAGGAGGTTTGTGAGAAGGTCCTGGTTACTGCAAGAGCTGCTGCCGCCACTGCCGCCGCTTGCAC